CGATTTCGTTTCCTCTCATCAGAAATAACCTTGTTACGACGAGCCTGAGATGAGTCGTAATTGTTCAGAAAACATATTTTTTTTTGTTAAAATTTATTTAATTTTTTTTTTTAAGATTGATCCACGTGATTTACAAAGGATGATGGGTAAAATAAGCCGATTTCGGCCTCCGAAATAGTAAATGGAAAGAGTGTTTTTTTGTAGTTTTTAAGCTGCTGAGTTTCGTTGTGACGTTTTGAGAAATTTCAATTTGTCGGGAAAGCATTAAAATCAACATATGAAGCTATTAATCGAGACGGCCGATTTGTGCTACGTTTTGCGAGAAAAGACCTGCCGCGCGATTATGTAAAATCCAGCCAAGCGTACGCTTCGCGTCGCGACTGTCGGGGAGATTCACGAACAAACGCGAAAGTTTGGCATAACCCCGGGCCGGAAATTTTAGTTCTACGTTGCATTAATACTGCAAGTTCCGCCGAACTTAAAGGGCCAATGGAGAATTTCGAGATCAGAACACCGCACAGACTGTTGTTTGCTCTACCTCGACGATTACTCACCGCATTCTCCCTGTTGAATTTCAAAAATAGAAACTTGTTTATCATTTTTTTAATATTCCACTATCTCAATATTCCGCCTGCATTTAATGTTTACTTTTAATTTCAATCAGCGATATATTAATTATTACTAAATTTACTCAGATGCGGGCAGACTATGTGAGAGAGGCGAACGAATATTAAATAATCCAATAAAGGTTGATGGTTGTGGGTAAATCGGAATTAAACGATGCGTGAAATATCGGGACCTAAATAAAATCTCTCGATTCACGGTTCGTCGAATGTCCTCTGAAATTCGGAAATATCGTATAATAAGTATGTTCGCACATATAGGGAAGTGTGCGAGATATCACCGTCTTAATGTTCCACGTTCTCCGCGTCCTGGTTTCCTGATCCAACGTCTCGGCTTGCGGCTTCGGCACTTCCGACACCCACACGTGGCACTGACACCGGCATTCGCGTAGCTACGATTCGGTCGTGTTAATTAACGGCTGTGCCAACGATAATCCCGTCAGAAGCCGACCAGAAGGTCGAATATTATATAATTATTTAATAGGAGAATTATAAATAATGCGCCGGTGCATTTCTTCTGGTACGTAGTTCGTCGGTTTCAAATGTACGTAACAGTTCGATCGCAAGGAAAACGAGATGCGCGAGAATATCAGAATAATGGGCAAGAAGGATTACGTCATCCCTCACTAGTCGCTGTTAAACGGCCGAGACAGCACAATAGCACAAACAAAACATTCCGAAGCTTCAAGGAGGTCGAACTTACTTTCATCTGTTACGAACTTTCCCGAGTGTTTCCATTGCATTACGTACCGAGGAATACATGTATAGTACATTGTACGGTTACCCGAGTTGAAATTTTAGTCCTGCATTAAGGCCTGTTTTCTAATTTATTTGTTAACATATAGGTATTTGTTAACATATAGGTTCAAGCTTGACCTGGTGATAACGTAAGAATTACGTTTCTTCCATTTACAATTAATCGTTGAACTTTAAAAATTATCACTCAAAAACCGGTCAGTTTAACGATTGACCGTGAATGGAAAAACACAATTTCTTGCGTTATCATCAGTTTAAAGTTAAACCGTAAGTTAATCGGAAAATGAAAAAACCGGGCCTGAGTCCAGTTTAGTTTGCTGATTCTTCAAAAGTTTTCCGTTGTGTTCCTTTAATGCTGCAAATGGAAAATTTTGGAGATTTAATATGGAAGTCAAATTTTCATTTGGATATTGCGCTCCTGTCGGTCGATTGAATATTTCGTCGGCTTCCAAAATATTCATCATGTTGCCGTTGGCGTCGCGTTAATTAATCTGTTTTTCCGATCGAATTGAATTTACGTATCAATATCAATACCACGGCCGATTAACGGAGGACAGGACGTGGACAATTAAGACGGAGGTTAAGACGTCAGCAGTGATTCGTCATATATTTCCAGAGATACCAAATCATTTATTATGCAAGAGCTTTCCGATTTTAACGAGCGTTCGACGAACTGATCGAAAATGAAGAGATGATCGGGTCGAAATTCCGATAGGTATTTATAATCCACCATCACTTAATAGGTAATTTCCATGAATCTCTGATTGCCCGTGAATTTGTATCGTTATTTCATAACGCTGTGGAAAACATTGACACAAACTGAAGAATTATTCATGAATACGAGACTGCAAAATTAATTAGATTCTCAATGGAAAATATCGCAATAATTCGTGTCTGTAAATATTGACCTTGCAAGTGCTGATTTTCACATTCGATAATATATTCTTTGGGCCGCGATATCGGTTACAATGTCAATGCTTCCTTCTCATTCCTGTTTAGTCTGGTTATTCAGCATTAATTCAAATTTAAATCTCGATTAATAAACGCAGTGTTATTATCGGACGTATAATTGTTATCTTCGCCTTTACAGCTTTTTCCTGATCAGCTCTTTTAAGAGCTTCAAATTTCAGGCGAGACTCCTGACGCCAAGTGGAAAAAGAAAGAGATTAGACGAATACAAATTTGTTACTTCTCTCTTTCGCCCATTTACCCATTAATCTTTATTAAATTGATATTTGAGGCTTTCGCGGCGTGTGGAATAGTAGTTGTTTAGGTTTTCGCGTTGGAGCCGCGTTTTTGTCAAACTGTTTCCAACGTTTCGTGAACATTCCAGTTCACGTTTCATCGAAGAAAGGAGAGCATACTGCATAGTGTTAGATTATTCTTCTCTCTGATGCAGCGAACTGATGAACTGTTCACGTGAAACGTTGGGAACGACTCGACAAAAACGCAGCTCCAATCCGGGAGCCAAAACAAACTATATTAAATCATTTAAATATAATATTATATAAAAAAAGAATATAAAAATATAATTAAAATATATTTTTTATTTCACACATACACACATACGTATGTACCTTAACAGCAATTAAAAAAGTTGTAATTAATACATCGCTGATTGAAACTAAGAATAACAAAATTAAATAGAGGTAGACTATTGAGAAGCAATCAGATACAAAATAATTCTGTGTGCGTAAAATAAGTCTTTTTAAGACTCCCAACATGAAAGAAACAGCAGTAAGTGTTGTCGATCATCTCAAGGTAGGTCTGTAGCTTGTTACAATGTTGCAGCTCGCCGATTCTCCATTGGTCCATCTCGCCTGGCGGGATTTGCGGGATTGACGGGGTTAGGGAGGAAGAAAATTCGGGCAGTAGCGCGATAAATCGCGGCCGATAAGGCGCGCAACGAACGCGTGTTCTGCTCGGTCGCAATTTCCGCGAACGACGATCGGCCCGGCGTAATTACCGCGGCTCTCTCTCTCGCAGATTCGCGTTCCCACTCTTCCGCGTATGAGATTTACGCACCGGAATACCGCGCGCATGGGCGCTCAACGGGATCTCGCTGACGTGTCCCGGCTTGGATCGTGCACGGAGAGTTCGATTACGCCGACGTATCCGTTCATCCCGCCGCTCCCGAGAGCGCATTTCACGAGTGACACGTGGGTGGGCGGATTCTAATGCGAAACCGGGCGCTTTATCGGCGCGAAAATCCACTGCCACGTGCGCGAAACCGAGCCGAAAGCGGCGGAGACGCCTGCGATGGATAAACTTTGGCCGCGTTCAGCGGAAAGAAAGCTGCTCAGTCAGCGTGATCATCATTTGTGACTGGAATCTTTTGGATTCTTAGAATCCAAAATGTCATAACCTCCGATTAACTCAACCCGAGTCGACATTTAGTTGTACTAAATTGAGTTTTCAAATTGTATTTTTCTGATGCGTACTGACATATATGATCATATATGTAACCACATACATGGGCAAAGTTCATATATGATTTTATATAATTATATATAATCGTGTATAATATCATTTTTTCCCGGGTAATCAATCACAGTTGACATTTAACCGGTCAGTTAAGTTAACCGGAGGTTGTGAAACTGGTAGACCTTAGTAGATCCAGGAGGACGTACCAATCAGGAGCCAACGGTCATTAAGCGCTCACCGAGCTGCTTTTTCCGTTGAACACAACTGTGGCTGATCTATCCGCCTTGATGTGCGCGAAAACGATATCTGAGCGAGAAGGAGAAATGAACGTAAAGAGTAGCGTAACGCGACCGGTGTAACGTAATCCGTCACGTACCTCGTTCTCCCTTTTCATTTCTCCCTCGAGTGTCGCACAATGGTCTATTCCGCAGTCGAGTCATTCAATCCCCCGTGACGTCCTTCTTTCCTCGCGAAGGAACGTATAATAAGGATTTCTTTTTTTCTTTTTATCGCATCTCGTTAAGAGGGAGCTCGGTTTCGGATTAACATTTCTGGCGAAACGACGGCGTTTGTGTCGAAATCGGAAAGACTCGGAGCTACTCTTCATACCGGATGGATCGATATGTATTTACGACCGACACATCCCTATAAGCGTGTAATATTATTTAATATTAAGTAATATTCTCGGCATATTCTTGGGATATTAGACGCAATATTCTAATAATATTCTAGTAATATTATTTAATATTAAGTAATATTTCCGGAATATTAATGGATGGTTATATGTCTACTTCTAATAATATTGGAAAAATAATATTATTTAATGTTATTGTTATATTATATATTTTTTTAAATATTCAACTCTATGTATAGTTTTTTATTTTAAATGTATTGCAATACCAATTGTTTTATTATATAAATAAAGTCGAAGTAATTTTGTATAAAAATACGTTTCATACTAAACAAAATTATATATTTTCCTATATTATTATTATTTTATTCTTTTTTAATATTCTAAGAATATTTTTATAATATGCCAACAATATCATGTGAAGCGGACATATAACATCAATAGAACATTCCTATAATATTAAAAAATATTATATAATAAATCTTATCAAATATTATATAATAACCTTAGAATATTATAGGAATATTATTTTAATAATGAATGATATTCATATAATATTCTAAGAATGTTGCGCGCTTATAGAGATGTTCACAACACCGTTACCCACACAGGCTACATGGAATCACACGGGCCACATGGACCACATCTGCGACATATACGACACACATGCAACAAACCACGCGCACGAAACAACGCGCGAGCCGCTGCCGGGGCGAAAATAACGAAATCTTGATAATGCCCGCTTGAAATAGAGTTGCTTGGGCATGCGATCGATTTGCATGCTTAGGGGTAGCATTCCCGCTAGATCCTTCGTTCACTTCACGAGCATGCGCACGTTTCTGAACTTGAACGTACCACGATAACATTCCACATGTTGATACGTTAAGCAACAGTGAATTCGGCAAATATAGCGATTTTCGCGATTTTTCTGCCTCATCTCCGCCAGATTTTCAAATCAAGTCTCTCTTATTTTCGGAATTATCGACCTTGAAAGATCAATAACTCGCGTTATTACTCTATATTTTTGCTCGTCTAACGGTCACACGATGGTTCTTGTTTACTGAGAAGCAACGATTATCATCGAAAAATTAGTTTTCCGAAAAAAACAAAAACGTATATACCTTTAAATTCCAATTTTGTTTAAGAACCTTCGCTAATCTTTACAGAACTTTCCTTTTCATCATGCGACAGACTCATCAGTTCTGAAAGAGGACATATTTGAGCGACAATTTATGGTAAATAATAATCACATCGATCATTATTCTACGTCACGTCGATGACTTCGTCACGTCTCGCGTTTCTTTATTGCGAAAAACCCGGACTTCAGATAGGTGGGGAAAAAATTCGTGTAAAAAAAATACGCAAAGTTCGAAGGAGGTCTCGGGGATTTACAATCTCTCTCGGACATTCGCGTTGGTAGAATGCGGTTGAGAAGTAACGCGGCAGAGAAGTAGGACGTCTCATATAGAACACAGATATTCATATTTCTTCATGTACAGCGACGAGCAGATTCGTATCAGAATTTCCAGAAGGCACGAGAGATGATACAGAAAAGAGCAATTAGTCTGTATCGCAACGGCGTGAAAAGCGTAGAGTGAAATACGGCTTATCCGTATGGCTGTCTTTTATCTTATCACGACGGTGTTCTTTCCCGTTCACGATCGTTCTACACGTGGGAAAGAAGATACCGAAAGATCCAATCGCGTAACGGACGTTTCGTTCCAACCGAGTTCGTCCCCAGTTTTTCTCATTGCTCGCACTCAGACATTCAATTCAATAAAAACACGCATCAAAATTACACATACATACAAAATTACACACACACACACACACACACATATGCATCAACCAAGGAAAGATTGGAGATATGATAAGTTGCAACAGCTCTTTAACGTCTCCTCGTCTGCTGGAAACTTGGTAACTCAAACGAGACGTGGCAGATTAGCGAGAAAGATTTCGTAGGAAGAGAGAAGGCTCTCAAAGTAAAAAGGTGAGAAGTACCCGCACGATTTCACGTGGACGAGGAAGATGAGGGTGGGAAGGGGAGGACCGAAGAATTTCCACAGAAGAGAGCAGAGATTACATGAAAAATTGATGTAAGTAATATATTTTCATATTTACAAGAGCGAGCGTAAGTATATATATATATTATATATATATATATATATATATGTATAAGTTTAATCGGGTAGCTGAGTACTCGTGTGTATGTGTATCGTTGCGCTTGTAAAAATATAAGGCGCGTTTTTTCAAAATGTAATTATTCCATCGATGCCGCGTCTTCGAAGAACACCCCTGCGAATCCTTCCCTCCGAGAGTCTTAGTCGCGTGTCGTGTATTAGAAAATGTGTCCGACCTCCGTTCGCCGTTCGCGAACTGCAATCTGATAACCGCAATTTCGCCCCGGTGAGTTGTTTCCCATTGAAAATCTCGTGCAAATTATCGACGTAACGAGTACATTTTGAAAGAACGCAAAGGATGCTTTCACTGAAAGCGATTAATCTTCAAGGACTTCTTCGGATTCTGATAGGCCGCGAGCTTCGCGCCGGCCGGCTGATGCCGGCCGGCCCGCTTTACAAAAATCGGACCTCCGTTCAAACGAGAACGAAAGCTTTTCGCTTTGTGTGTAGAAAAATACAGGGTGCTCGACAAAGTCTCTGTCTGGTAGTTTGTACGATGATCCGCGTCTCACGTCTGCCGCATATAAAAACAAGAAGTTACTGCGGAATCGAAACTCGCGAAACTCGCGACGCGATCCCTTCTCCGCACAAACGCGCTCCTTCGGCTCGCCCTTCTCGCGAGGGATTTCTCTACTAAACACATATTTGCCTTAAAATTAATTTGCCCGGAGTATCCGAGTTGAAGAAGATTGTCGTTCTCGTGTTTCTCGAAAATAGGGGGATGAATTTTTTTTCTTTCCTTTTTTCTGCGAAATGGAGGTGGCCGTGTGTCAATTTTTCAGGAGGACTTCAAAGAGCAGAGACTTTACAGACACCTTGCACACAAAAATCTCGATGATGTTCCTCTCTCCTTCTCTCTCTCTCTCTCTCTCTCTCTTTCGGGGAATCCCTGCGCATCGAAATCGAAGATCTTGGCGCAATAACATGCTAAACCACACACGAGAGGAAGCCTCAGAGTGACCCTTATGATGGTGTGATTCTTGCCCAGATTCCGATAAAAAAGAAACCTCCCCTTACGGGAGGATAGCGAGGGACGTACGTTGCGCGAGGAATAAAAGCGCAAGGGGAGAGTCGATTCGATCCCTTTAATAATTTTCCGGCCTTCTTCTTCGCGATCGCTCGTCAAGCTTGCGTTTTCCTACGAGCTTAGCACGTTATTGCACCGAGTTTCTCGGTTAGTTCTTCGCTCCGCTTTGTTCCGCCGTCACTCGATCGTAGCCAAGGAAATATTTCGCCGACTGAAACCGTCTCGCAATATCGCCTTTATAAATCGTTCGTACAAGATATTCGGGTCCCGGTCGACGCGCGAGACTTAAATTGATTCGTGACGGACGATTCTCCCGATGTAGCAGCGATCGATAACAGACGGAGCGTGAGGATACAAAACGCCGAACGCGATAAAAAATATCTTTAGGTAACTGTGGAAGGATCTCCTTTCCGTCGGGAGTGCATCATCGCGCCCTTTCGATCCCTCGCAGAGCTTGACTCGGCACGCCGGGAGGCAGGGCGGCTGGTTCGCCTCCTCGGGCCTCGAGGTCGTTGCTGACGGCCTCCGAAGCCTTGAACCGCTTGTATTTCCCTGCAATTCGGTTAACTTTCAGTATACATACTTGTCGATCTTCTTACTGCTTGAAAGTTTACAAATTTTTTTCCGAAAATGGACGAGTATACGAGGCGATACTTTCTTGTAATAATTTGCCGATCGCTCTCGCTTGTGAGGACATAACGATCACGAGAAAAGATTAAAGAAAAAAACGAAAGGAGAAAAGGAGAAAGGAAATTCTACGTATAGAGGTTCCTGCACATCTCTCCCTCGTGTCGACGATGACCCCTGAGAGAGCGCTGGAATTTCCTTTCAAAGCGTTCGCGCGCTCGTCTGCATATCGCGTCGGTGTAATCGCTAATTCATCGAGTTTCGCGTTTTTTTTTTTTTAGTTTTCGCATCAGACTTCGCGTTTTTTCTGTTTTTTTTTGGTTTCGCGTTTTTTTCGCGTTAGGTTTCGCGTTAGGTTCCACGTTAAGTCTTCATGCTAGATTTTGCGCATAGGTTCTGCTCTTACGTTCTACGTTAAATTATCGTACATAGGTTTCTCGTTAGATTTCGCATTAGGTATGACGTTAGGTTTTCATATTAGGTTTCGCGTTTTTTTTTCACACGCGTATGTAACACCATGAAAACTCTCTCCCCGACTGACGTCGTTCAATTTCCCTTTTCTTCTTTCGCGAACCCGACGCGAGACGCCATCTCGTTAGTAACGCGATTTTTTTTACTCGCGAGACAAGTAATTTCCCGTTGTCGTCTATAGAGGACAGATTCTGAATTCCTTTTATAAGATTCTAATAGCATTTTCGCTCTTACAGGGATGAAAGTTTTGCTTAAATTTACCGGACGATGAACAAACCAAACTCGTTTCGGTACGAGGAATTTCTGACTTTTTGAAATTAAACTTTTCACAAACAAACATTCTGTTTCCTCCGATCGAAATACGTTTGGTTTATTCATCGTCAGGTAAATTCAACCCCCATTTCTTCCGTGTAAAATATTTAGGCACGCTGGTACTATGATGTCCGTCGCAAAACAACATCCCCGAGCAAATACAGTCAACTATTGCAGCCATATATTCACTATAAAACTGCATGTATAAAGCCTAATATAGTTAATACTGTAATTCTTTTAATAAAAAAAACCTTCACCTCTCATCCCTCGCTTTCTTCTCATAAAAAAAAAAGAAAAAGAAAAAAAACGAGAGAAACCTATTTTTAGCCGAAATTATCGTCTCCCTTAACACTTTCTGTCGACGGTAAGTAACCAGGCTAAACTGATAGTTCCGATAAGCAATTAGAACGCTTACGGGCTAAGCGGACCATCGTGACGCCCCACCAAATGCTCCAACCCCATCCAACGAGGCAAAATAGAACGGTGAATAGTTGGCCCACACCCACGACGAGATTGACGATGAACGCACCCAATCGTGATTTCAGTCCAGCGACAGGAGAAAATCTCGGCTGTCCAGTGCACATGTTGAACAGACCGCTCCAAATGGTTCCTGCGCAAGTTTAATTAACATTTGCGAACAACGGTATATCCCTTTTATGTGCACAGAGGAGAAGATAGTATTATGGCTCCCTATTTACATTTTGTACAATAATTTTGTCAATAATCATTATTTTAAACGTTAAATTTAACGAGATTATATTCGAATGTTGTTCGATCGAAATTCTAGACTCAAAGTGATGAAATATTTATTAGGGCGTTTAAAATGTTAAATAAAGATATGTTAAAATACAAAAACACTCGATGATACGCTCAAGTTTAAGAAGAATGAAGAAGTGTGTGTAACTAAATGTTAAAATGCACCTTGAAAATGGGTTATAAGAAATGCCGGCTATTATATGTATCGACATATTAGAGTCACTGCGAGACAGCGGGCTATTAAACAAATGATTCTCCATTAGTAATCGCTAGAATTCGCCGTCTAATAGCGGAGACATCAGAAGTAGGCCGCAATACCATCTTTTCCTCTACGCATTATTTTCATTGAGCATTGTTTTCATTTCCTTTTAATTATCCTTTCGAACGAGGTAGCTCAAGGAGCGGAAAAAGGTGCAGAGTCGTGGTCGTACCAGAGCCCGGTAGCAGGACGTTCCACACCAGACAGAACCAGGCGAGAGGAACCGGCAGACAGGGAATGGCGCCGCGCATGACGGAATTGTGCTCCACCAGGACATCCGGTAGCTTGGCCTTCGGTTCCTGCGACATTGCGCATCGAGTTCTCCCGTTACCACCACGTGAGACAGAGAGAGAGAGAAAGAGAGAGAAAAACGGGCCGGCGCGTATCTGGAGCGCGTAACGCGGTGCCAAGCGGACCGTACCGCTCCGTTGCGTCCTGCATTTGAGGTGGTCGAGTGAAATAATAGTAATCCAAGTAATCGCAATAATTACAAGTGCCCGTCTGGAAATCGCTCGTTCGCTCGCTTTTCACGCGTATCCGATACGTGGGATAATTGCGACGGCCCGCTCGACGAGGGTGCTACGGCCGGTCGTTCGCTCCCATTATAACCCTATAAACGCGCCCTATTATTTAATATTAAGCAATATTCCGGGCATATTCTTCGAATATTAGACGAATAGAATAGAATAATATTCTATTAATATTCTCGTAAAATTATTTCATATTATTGCAATGTTATATATTACTTAAATATTCAATTCTACGTGTATATATATAATTGCAGTTTTTTATCTCAAATATATTGCGATATCAATTGTTTTATTATGTAAATAAAGTCGAAGTAATTTGGTGCAAAAATATATTTTATACTAAAAAAGAATTATGTGAAGCGGACATGTAATAACGATAGAGCATTCCTATAATATTAAAGAAATATTGCATAGCATTCTTCGAATATTCTAAGAATATTACTTTAATATTTAACAACATTCATATAATATTTTCGGAATAATACGCGTTCGTAGGGCACTCGCGACCCTGTTGGCTCACGTACCTCCGACAATGGCGGCGGCGCCACGCTCGTGAGACTGTGCTTGGCACGTACGTTTCTTGTGCGTTGTTGCTTGTCGGCGCGTTTGCAGCTGCAACAGCCGAACACGCGCCGGCAGATCGCGCCGAACCTCCTCTCCGGCGGGCAGCAAGCGGTAGACTCGGCCGGAGCGATCCTGGCTTTCCTCGCGCAACACTTGAACTCTCGCAGTCGGGTGCACCTGTGGACGAGAAACCCGTTCGTATTCGAGATATTCTCTTCGGCACGTGCTCGAGCGTAAAATGGAAATCTCGGTGCCTCGAGTCGCGAGATGCGATCGAACACGGCACGTTTTACAACCCGAATGCGCGTAACTCGCGCGACAAGGCACGGCACGGGTCGAAATTTTTCCTCTTGACCTTTGGGACTCCGATTTTTCAACGTCTGAAATTTAATTCCCACTCCCTCCGTGCTTCGAATAGCCGAATCTACGTCCTTCGATTCGACTCGGCTTTAAAAATTCCCTTCAAAGTTACTGCATTTCACTCGAATTGGAATCTTCATTTCGTTTCCGGAGCTTCTCTCGTGAATCTCCGAGTAGAAACTTCGTTTACTGAAAATAGGAACTCGATTCTCCCTGTATATAAAAGTAGAAAGGAAAAATGGCTCTTTGAATTCAAATATTGATGTCATATTCCGCCCGATAAAAGCTTATTGTAGATCTCGTCACGTAGACGAGCGTATTTGTAAAATCCAATGATTTTATATGATTTATATAATTTATAATTTTAATCGCCAATTTTAAGTCATTGATTATAATATATAACGATGATACATATTATGATTGTATTTGTTTTGATAATGATTTACTATTTGTGCGAAATCATTATAATATCGTATAAATTGAAACTCCCGCGATCTGGAATCTCTGTAAATACAGGGAAACAATGAAGTCCGCAAGTGGGAATAAAATTAGGACTAGGGGATCTCTACCTGCAGCGGGTCTTCAGCTTCGACCAACAGGACGACGCGTTCGTTGCGGGTGGGGGCGGTGGCGGCGGCGGCGGCGACAGCGACACATTGAATGGGACCGCCGCAACAGGCGGCGTTGAGTCGTCGCTGATTACCGTCATCCTCCCTTGATTTCTTGTCCAGAGGAGACCCTTGGGGTCTCTGCGACATGCCAGACACCTCATGCCGGGACAGCACTTACAGTAGCGACTTAAAGACCTTCCCCAACGCGTCAGCAGCCGCTCGTTATCACGTTGTTTCTCGTTGCTGGAGGTCAGGACCCTGCGACACGGTGTTGATCACAACAGATATTCCGGAGACGAATAACAAAAAGGAAAGTTTCTTTTTTTCTTTTTAATCGTGTTATGCGCAAAATAATTTATTTCAAATAACCGGTAAAATCAAAGGGCTAAGAGGAGCCGTCGCTGAATATAATTATATATATATAATAAATAAATAAATAAATAAATGAAAAAAAATATATATAACATAAGTACAATATGTTAAATTTAACATACGGTGTGGTATATTAGCCTAAAATAATATTTGACACAACAATTTTAACAAGGGCCGATTGTAACACAAATATAAAGTACTTTTTACCGTATAGATCGAACCGACCCTTTATCACAAGATTAATATTCTCAATATCAATTATTCCTCTCCAAATACTTTTCCAATTACTTCGAACATCAAAAAACCTTGAAAAAAACCTTTGCCAAGTGTTGGGAAAACTGACTTGTCCCTTCGAGCGGTTCTTCTCCGCGACAAAAAATAAGAGGAAAGAGGAGGACGAACGAAAATTCGCACGCCGTTTCTCGCGTGATTCACCTTGCGGCGCGACGCTAAACCACCAGCGCCGCTTAATTCTCAACAATTATTATCGATTCTACATTAGCCGCAGGGACTATTAGCACCTACGTATGAGTCATGTGCAAAACGTATAGTAATATCCGAAGGTATCGATTTGCGGAATAAGGAGAAGCGTCGCGATGCGGACGCTTATACGTTTGATCAAGCCGTGCCGCCGGAGGCCGACGGGGGAAGGGAAGGGGGAAGGGAGAATCTGTGATTACACACGGGACGTGTGTGTTCCGAACGCGACGAACGAGATTTCCCTTCGTGTTTGCCGCGCGCGTGTTAACGCGCGCTTCTGTCGCACCGTCGGGCTTGCTCCGCTGTCGCGTAAGGAGAGCTTCACAAACTAACTTCCGCCAAAGTTGCCCCGGAAATTATTTCCGGAGAGAAGAACGAGGGGGAGGGGGGGGAGTACGGTGTAATTCCGACTGGTAACAATGCGAATCGGTGCATATAAAAACGCGTTTAAAAGCGTCCGCCGTCATCGTGTTTGCGGAACGCGAAATACGAAGTGTGAAAGCCGCGCGCTTCTCGTCCGTCGACCAGCAGCCAACCAGCTGCGGTCGGCCTGGCCGAAAAACCGGAAGAGATCCCACACGAAGCTAATCACCAGCACACGCACAGCACCGCCGGGAGGCCTGCGCAAGACCCATCCCTCTGTCCGCGGCCGCAATCGGGGAAAGCACCCTCTTACCTGAACGCAACTCCTTGCCGCGCACTAAGAGAGGCCGTCCTCCTCCTCCAGCCGAACTTTGGAAGCGCCGGCGATCGGCGAAATGCGCGTCCCTTCGACGGTGCAGTTTCTCCCGCGAGCGAAATCGCGCGAGAAGACGAGAGAAAGCCGGATCGACGAAGAGATTGATCGGGGGGACGGGATCGCGACGGCCGGTCTCAGGTGAGTCAACGAGTGGCCATCGCTCTGGCTGGCCTCAGGTGACTTCCAGCAGTGATTGCGGCTGCCGCAGTCGCCGCGGCCGGACGCGAGGGCGAGGCAGAGGGCGAGAGGCCGCCGGTCACGCAAAGATCCCCGGGCCCCCTCGACCCCCCGTCTCACCAGACTGACCGCGAAATCGATACGCGCGACACGAAGTTCTTTACCTTAACCGACCGGTTTTCAAGGCGGCCCTACGCGCCCGATTTTCTCGACGCGCCCCGTTCCGTAGCGGCCGCGCGCCCGCCCGCCCACCGGCGGGAGCTTTTTAAAGTCGACCGCGTGTATAATTCGTCGCCTTCACCCCTCCCGAGCCGGAGGGGGAGGGGGGAGGTGCACTTTCGCTGATCGGCGGGAGAGAGAGGGAGGGAGAGAGATAGATGGATATATTTAATTATATTCTGCGCTCTGAGAAAAGACTTTCCTCGAGCGCGAATAGATATAAATAAAAATGACTGCATTCAGAAGATTAATAATAATAATAATGTTAAATGTTAATGTTTAATAATATTTATGTTATATTAAACATTAGTATTAAATATTAAGAATAGTAAGTAATTAATATTGCAATAATAGAATATATCCGAAAATAAAGAGGAAGAGATAAACAAGTGAAAGTAAATAAGCAACATGAAGAAATATAATCGTGGCAAAAGGGAAAAAAAGAAATGAAAATAAATCAGCAATGCAAAGAAAAGTGATACAATCATAGCACATACATAAAAGAAAGATCAATGAAATCAGAGAGAGAGAGAGAGAGAGAGAGAGAGAGAGAGAGCCGCGCGGGATCGATTGGAAGAATTCACTTTGGAATTAGGACTGTTCGCGCGTACGAAAGTAACGGCTAGATTAAATCTTGCAAAACTCTTTCAACGCCCTCAAGGTCGGTTCTCTGTTGTGTGTACAGATATATATATATATATATATATATATATATATATATATATATATTCGAGAAATTTCACGTCCCTCACAATGAAAAAGTATCGTCACCATTGTCATCGTTGCCCCCTCGTTTTGACTTTTACTTGAGTTCTACATGATCAAAGTATATTTTTTCACAGGAAACACGAAGTGTCCCCCAACGATTTCGATGGCCTTTGGATACGTTGTGGAACGGCTAAAAATAAGAGTCTCGTATTTTTTTTATAGGCGCTCGCCCTCGCACTTCAGGGGTGGGAGCAATCCCTTGAAGGTAAGGAGCGAATATCTTCGAGACGGTGAGGTGTATGAAAAAATGTCTCGTGCAAAACTTTTGTGGTATTTGATGTATTTTGTAATTCTATATTGAAATTTTTCATAAACGTCGTGCGAGGGTTGATGAGGTTGACATTGAAAAATGACATTTCTGAAAAATCTAAATACAGTTGTGCAAGATGAAACAAAGAAACGGGCGACTTTAAAAATCTATTTATCGCTATTAGAACATAACTAAGTTAGATTAATGAACACGTGCACTAATTTGTCGCCAGTATTATTCTGTTTAGTCATCATAGAGCAGTGGAGGGACAAACAACGCCGTTAAGGCAATAAATGATTTTTTAATATCGCTTAATCTTTTGTCCCATTTTATATAAAGAATATCAAATACCACTCATGATAAATTCCACCCAATTTTCCTTGAAAGGTTGTTTCAACCCCCAAACGTACGAGAAAGCATCTAAAAAATACGCATCATCATTGACCCCGAAGGGACGTCCTAAAGACATCCGGAGGACGCCCTACGTCCCAAGAACGTTTCCAGGATGTCTCTCGGATAAAGCGTGCTATGTAGATTATTTCTATCCGCTTTATAACATGTCCAAAGCTCACGAAAAACGAGGAATACATTCATACGTTTCCTCCCGTTCGTTAACTTGCACAATTTTCATTCTAGTTTCAGCCCTATTTTGTTTTATCGTCGTCCGACCGTAAAACGCGTCGTCGCGAATTTGATCTTCCACGCGAAACGAGTCTAAGAAGGAAGGAAGTCGATTCTTTCGTGGAAGCGAACTTCTCGGCGACCGTAAGCCTTACAAATCGGTAACGCGACCGTAAACGCTCGATAAACGGTAACAACAAGCGACAATCAGCCGTAACAACTTCTCCGTCGCCGTCATAACTCGCGAGAACGCGGAAAATATATTATTATGCGACGAGAAAATTTTATGCGAGAGAACGGCGCGCGCCCGCGCTGATAAATCGCGCGCCGCCATACGTCGCGGTTATTTATTTTATCGGACCGTGTGTGAATGTGTATGTGTGTGTGTGTGTGTGTTTCGAACGTTGTCGCAGGAAATTCTCACTGATATTTTTCCGCATTTCGCATTTATTTCACTTTATTATCGTGCCGCTTCGGTTACGTAACAAGTGCATACCGCGATGCAATTTTTCATCTCCACTTTTTCGGTAACGCGACCCAACATTTTCATATCGCTGATCTTTCCGCTTTAAACGCAGTACGGTAAGCAATTTTCTATTACCAAAAATGGCCGATTAAAATTCTGACGTTACCGTAATGCGATATGAAGCACGCGTCAAGAAGTTGATAAATTAATAAAATCCACGTGAATATCCAACGTATGCGTATAAATTAATTTATTATATTTAATTCGCGTTTTTTTCATTAATATACCTGCGTGTACCTTGCGACATGCTCTCTCATGCGTCGAAGCGTAATACAAAAAAATTCCCCGGACGGCACTGGTTTTGCAAGGCGGCATTTTAACAAATCGCAGCACCGCCGGCGTTCGCCGGCCGTGGTGAAAGCGTGCCTTTAAAGAATGCCGGTCCGAAACGCGACGACGGTGCTTATCGGCACCGTGTCGCTCGCGATTCTTTCCACGGTAAGCCGTCTCGCGTCTCCCCCGACCTCGGGAATCAATTCGTCCTAAAAAGGGTTAACCCTGGTGGCACATTAAACGCACGCCGGCTTCCTCGCGAGGGAGCCGGGTCGCGCGCGATTACCGCGTCACGACACGCCAGACAAAACCATTAAAAGTTTCGCGTTGTCTGAAAGTTGGGTATCCGCCGAGAGAACACCGTTTCGGCCGCTGATTAAAGAGGAGGGCGCGAGGGCTGGAGGGGAGGTAAAGCGCAAAATCACGCGGCCGAAAGTTCGAAATGACGACGGTGTCATTAAAGCGCAAATCGCGCGGCAACCGCGATCCACCGCGGCCAATTTCGGCGGAACACTTTCCCGCGTAATTGCTCGCTGACTAACGAGACCGGAGGCTCCTCGCGTCCCCTTCGCGACTGAGGACGTTCAGGAAAGGCCCGGCCGCGACTTATCCTGGGAATCGGAGCGTCCCGAGCGGCGGCTTTCCGAGCGCGAATCTTCTTTACGCGAGATTCGCAATTCGCGAGGCCTAGAATGAAAGATCTCGCTCGTAATTCCGTTAATCTTGCCGGATCGATCTGACGCGAACGCGCACTTTAAATAATGCGCACATTGTGTCGGAAATGACGCGTGCTGATTCCCGCGACTTTTTTTTCCTTCGCTCGTTCTCCCCCG